AGCTTTTGACGCGTTTGATCCGAGTTCGAATCCGCCTTTTGCCGAACTCTCTCTTCTCCCTTTTCCCAACACATATGAGATGTAAACTGTACCGCCTATACCATAAAGGTCTCTAGCGTAATATTTTGACAACGAACTAAAATCGAAACCATGATATGGCTTTGTGCCTTTATAAAACAGCAGAAGACTTTAAGTAGCTATATAGGCATTCTGTTTGTGCTGCGTGATTAAAAGAAAAGTGCGCTCTTTGCTCACGCGATCAGCACGGTGATCTGGTGTTTTCTCCTAAATAAAAGCTAAAGGGTTCATTTCTTGCCAGTGAAGAAATTAGGACAAAAGTATTTTAATTTTCCTATACTATAGTGTAATGTAGGCTAAAATATACTTTGGAAATATTCATTTTCATTTATACAGTACATTTATAGGCTATATGGATTTTACATCATAGGAATAATAATATAAATCATTATTACATTATTATAATAATTGTTTGGCATCCTAAAACACCATTGATAATGTAATGTAGACTGAGACTCTCATAACTAGATGCTTTAATGTCCAGGTACAAATCAATGCTTTTTCTTTGTTCAATGAGCAGTTCATGGGTTGAAGCTCTTAATTTTGATCTCTCAAAGAGCACCACATTGATGCATTTAACCTTAAAATGTACAAAATTTTCTTGCGGGGGAGTATGCCCCCGAACCCCCCTAGAGGCACAGAGGTCCACCCAACATAGTTTTACAAAATCCTATGTGAAAGAACAACCATTTATGAACTTTAATCCGGCATAGTACAACAAAGTTCCTTTTAAGTCATGAAAACTGTAAATGCCATATTAAAATGTCCTTGGACATTATACATTTGGCCTCCCTGCCTAAGAGGGGGCATACAAGACATTGTGCCCAGGGGCCTCTGATCTCTTAATCCGGCCCTGCCGGCGATGAGGGCCGGTGGTCTACGAAATTTCCCGGTAGATTTTTTGGTCCCACTCCGCCCCTGGTGGGGGCTGCGGCATGTTAAATATATTATACATAGTTTTTCAGTGTGGGAAATACAAAGCGCATGAGTGACTGTCGCGCTCAATGCGTGACACTTGAGAGCATAGACATCCATAATAAAGGCTAGATGTCTTACAGCAGAGTCTCTATCGTCATCACCGGCGGCCATCTTGTCACAGGCAAGCTTTCTGGCGGGCTCTGTGGTACCTGATGTAAGATCAGCACGAATACTCTAATCTCGTTGAAATCTTGATGGATTTACAAACGGTTTCTTACAAAAATTATTAACGTGGCTATAATTCTGGATGATTATTTATTGATACACTTGTTATTCATACGTGTGCAGTGTCATAACTACATCTTTGACGTTTATAACAAACCAAACCGTTTGAAAATCGGTTGAAAATTGAGCAAGTTATGGTTATTTAAAAAGTACATGCACCATTAAAACACAATGTCACGAGTGAGCGAGCTGCCTGTGACAAGATGGCATCAAGAATGAAGGGATAAAAGAATCCCTAGTTGAATGAACTTACTGCTGCCCGTGTAATTTTCCTCCTAAAATTTTAATAAACAGAAGCGAACTTTCTCTTCTATGATGTCCAACACAAACATCTGTTAACATATGTTTCATGACCCCTAAAACCATGTCCTCTATATATACTCATGTCCAGACAGAAGCAAACAAGTTCGGAATATGTTTTCAAGTGCATAAGAGCTCTCGGCTTCCTCCATCAATGAAACGCTTCAATGATATTCACTCTCATCTTGTTTCTTGTTTGGTCCCGTCACTATTTGATCTCTTTATGTTCCTGATTACATACTTTTATAGCTGCTGCAAAGTAATAACTTATTCAAAATGAGAACCCAATCAAGAGAGTATACGATTTCAGACGCAGCCTTGGTCTTGGATGCCTGAAATAGCTGCCCGGAGTGGTTGCAAATATGGCCGCCGAGTGAACGGACTTTGTGTCGAGTCGTGTCTCTCCTCCTAGCTCTTTTAAAAGCTCAGCATCTCAAATCAATCAGTGATTGACAAATTCAGATTTCAGTAGCATTATTGGCATTGGTAAAAAGTTTATGTGTTGCTAAGGAGCTCTAAGTGGTCTGAGTCCAGTAATAGCACACTTCGCTCACCCCCAATTAAGCATTTTAGCAGAACTACTCAAAAATGGCCATGATTAAAGACATAGGCTAGGCAGTCTCACATTGCTCGTGACGGCACAGCTGAGTTAGTCAAGGGCTTTCAGACAGACAAATGTCTCAATGGATGAAAGTCGATCAGAATAAAACAAAAGTCTGAGGGAAAGCACAATCTCCGTGCTCTGAAGCTGGGATATTACTGTTCACAGCTCAACCCTCAGGGCTAGTGAGCAGCGGCGTCTGATTGAACGCAAACTCTTTGAGCCTGATGTGTAAATCTTCATTCATATGTATAGGCCTTAGTCATTCGCTGCGCCACAGAGGGGTTTAGGATTCCAAATCCCAAAAAGCAATAACCAAAGAGGAAAGACTCCTTAATATCACTATACGTTGTTTTGAACATCAAACGCGAACCATCACAGCTGTCTCAGGAATTGGAGGATTAATGTGTAATAAAGGAAGGCGATGATGGGGAGGAAATTCCTCTAACGGTCATTGTGATGATGTCAGCAACAACCTTTATGAAAATGTTTATTATGCAAATTCATCCTGTGTTGTCTTGGGACATCATCATCATTTCATAATGTTGAGAGAGAGAGAGAAAAAGGAGACGAATTAGATTTGAAGGCTCGTTTGTATCCCAAAAATGCCACATCAAATGTGTTGGCGTCTCTTTTTGTGTGGCAAAATGGTCATACGCATTGCTATGTTCAGTTACAGAAGCTGATCGGTTGAATGATTTGAAGTTAGCACAGCCTGTGCCTAATACTTTGTCGTTTAATTGTTATGAAGGAAGGTCGTCGCAGTCAGACCAGTAATTGATATTAAAATCAATCAGACCTCTAATCAAAAATAACTGCATGGCGGTTTGCACGGTTGACCTTGAAACCTGACGTGCCGAAAATGACAAATATGCAATATACAGCTGATAGCTCAACACATTCCCTTCATTCCTCACGATGTCCATGTCAGAGAACTCATGCAGGACCAGCACACTTGAGATGCCGCATCTTACCGCAGTGATTCATGGCACGACATATGACAACAGATTGTAATTTTATGGACGTGCGCTTTAATTAAAAAAAGGTAAAATGTTAATTTGTCAGCACATTGGGGTTTTTGGAGATCATGTTCTTTCACTCTGGTACTTTTCTTCTCTTTTTCTTCTCTTTGACTTGTAATGTGCTACTGCCACCTCTCGGTACGTGATCACGTGGCTCAACAAATTGTTTAACACCCACATCTATTTTATAACAGATGGAGTGTTATTACTACATAATATTAGGTTTATTTAAAAAATGTGTGCTCAAAGCAAAAAAAAATGTTTTTGCTTAAATAATTCATTAATTAGTAACACCTTTCTTAATGTTGGCCTACATGTTTTTCAATCTTTTTAAGCTTTCCTGGACAAATGTGCACGACTGTGTTCTTTACCTCTTTATGCAATTTATCCCAGAAAGCACTGTAGGCTACTGTAATTGATTGCACAATGACAATAACGCTTCTTTAATTATAGTCAATATTATAGGAGTCTTTTGTTTATTATTTTGGCCTTTCTCCCTCTGGAAGTATTTTGTGTGTCCATTATTTGTTCCTTTGTCAATAAACCTGACTTCAATTAGTTTCAGGTGAAATGCTGTTTCTAGTGCAGGAGTAGAGAAGTTTACTCTGCGTTCTCTCTGATTAACCCCTGGACTAAGATGACAGTAGGCTAAGTCATTATAAAAATAAATTTTATTCGAAAATAGATTTCGAATGATTACTGTTTCCATAGTAACAGCAACTTCTGCGATTGGTGGATTTTGTTTCAGCATTGTGGGTATAGTGGTACTCTCTAACATTTAAACGTGATTTTAAAACATGAATAGTGGGTCATAACAGTTTGGGGACATAAAAGTGTCATTGGTTTAGAAGGGTTATGAAACCCTGGAATAGGACAATTATTTTGTGAAATGCCCTTTCTGTCCACCAGATGTCAATATTGAACAAGAGGGAAAGAGTTTTTTTTTTTTTTAATGAGGCACAACGTTTTAAATGAGTATGAAATAATAAACCCCCCTCCCCATAAAAAATAAAAACGGAAAATGTAGCCTACAGGCAATTTTCTGCCAGGATATTATCCTGTGATTGTACAGACATTTCCGTTAATTCTAAAACACAACATGCAATGCGTGATTCAAAATAAACATGTAAAAAAAGTGTGTGACTGCGTAATTTTGACACACTGAGTTGTAATTGACATAAAAAAGTGTAAATTATTACATAAAAGTAATGATTATGACATAGTGAGTCATAATCCTGAGGTAAAACGGTGAAATTATGACATAAGTAAGATATTAAACGAAATTGTGGCATTCAAAATCGAAATTATGACTTTTTCTGTCAAAGTAGCCTATAACTTTTTATATCATAATTTCACCCTTTTATCTCACGTAGGCCTAGGCTATATGACAGTGCCATATTTTTTAAAATATGTCACTTAAGTCTTAAAATATGTCACTGCCATTGTTGTGTCTCAAGATGCACCAAGCCTAATGTTTTTAAAGGCACGTTTATAAAAGCTATGTAAATGCCCTAATTGATCTAAGCTCTAATCCTGGCTCAATCTAAACCCTGTCTGTGAAACAGACATATGACTTGTCATCATTATGACTTTTTATATCAAATTTAACTTTCTGTCATAATTATGATTTACCAAAGCATTTTTTTTTCTTATGTGGCGGAAATGGCCTACATGAAAAATGTTGCCGTTGCTGTTTATCCATGAGTTTGCAATTTGTCTGGAGCGATCAGTGCCGTCGACGCTCGCTCCCTGAGCGCGTGCGGTGCGCAGTCGCAGGAGAGACGCGTGGAGTCAGTCAGTGTCAGTGTCAGGGAGCTCTGGAGGGGTCACAGCTGATCACTCTGCATGCAACCACACACTCTACTCTTGTGTTATGCATCCCTTTAAGCGAAAAGAGCTAGGGGAAATACTTTTGTGCGGTGTTTCCCTGTGTTGTCATTGCGTCCCGTCTTCGGGTGGCGGATCTTCGTAGTGTTTGGTGTTTTAATAGAGTGAACAGTGAGGATAACCGGAGCGCTCCAGAGATCTGCGGTTGTGCTTGAGTTTCTCGCCCGGGATGGCCTCCTCATCGCGACAGGACTACATTGCTCCATGGTGGACCTACTGGCTGCACAATTTCCCGCATCTTAATTTTAATTTCCAGGCGGTTGATAATACTTTTAAACCGGAGGACGCCAGCTATCAGCAGGTGAGAGGAGTTGAATGTATTTTTAGTTTATGGAGGTGTGAAATCTAAGTAAACATTATCTTTTTTTTTTTGCGCTTTAGCTGTTTGGTAAACAACTGACACACATGTACAGTCAACTATAGAATAACTATTTCAGTTATAATAGTTATTTATATCTATAATAGTTACAACTAATTATAACTTTACAACTATAACAAAATACTGTATTCTATACTAAACATAAATTAATAAAATAACGTGCAAAATACCAAACCATATTATAATTAATAAATGTATTAATACATACATTTACTCAACTAAAATACTTTCAAGCGTGTGACAATAGGCTACCCCAACCTGATATGAATGAAAAACACATTTGTCCTGAAAACATAGCTGGACTTAATTGTAAAGTTGACTCTTGTCTTGACAGTATGCCAGTGTCTAAAACAAATTTGGCTTATACTGTCTTTGTGGTTTCATCAGTTTTAATAATTCATTTGCTGTTTGCATTTATCTGAAAACCAATTAAATCCCTTTTATAAAGTCAACATGAAATGGAAGTTTAGTATTTTCTTCCCTCGTATATCTGAGTGAAATGTAGGGCGGGACTTGATTTTGTCCATGGGGAATTGATTGGATGGTTGTGGTTTGTTATTGGTGGATCTCATGTGAGTGACAGGTTGATCCCGCCCTCATGCTAGTAACCACATCATCAGAGAAGAGATGTCACTGAAAGGGGGAGGGGAAGTTATAGCAATAAATAGTGAGATATACCATTAAAAAAATGAAAATGATCAATTTTGACTTCATGGTGACTTTAAATGAACCCCAAAATATGTTGTAAATGGCTTTTTACAGGAATTCTAATCTTCTGAAATCGGTGTCACATGTCCCACGGTTTCCTATTTTTCTGGGCCAAGACTTTAAGACATGTTCCTACAGAAACTGATTTAAAAATAAAAAAACGTACCCATAGAAATATTCACTGAAGTATTGTGTGACAACTAGCCCCGGTCTCCCCTGTGAGTAAGCAGCTGTGGCAGTGGCCTGTTCTTGCAGGTGTAGTAGTGAAACATGCAGGATGATGAGTGTGAAATGTAATTCTGTAGTGGATCACAGGTTTCTCTCAGCTCAGTTGTGTAGAACTCAAACAGCTTCTGACGTCTGTGACTTCTAGCTTTCTATGGATCTGTTGGTTAACATAATCCAAATTCATTACTGCTAAGACAAGAATTCCACATTCCAGTAATGGAATATAGTTTGTACCTTCAGCATCCTGGGACCAAAAATGTGTGATAATTCTTAATGTCTCTCACTGAACTCTATAAATGTGCAATATCTGGTGTAAACAGATGTGTCTGGTGGTGTGTCAGATCTCCATTAAATAGTCTCTGGTTCCCTTACGCTGTGATTTGTACTTTAGCAGAATACAGTCTCCAGAGGAACATTTCCCTCATCGATTCAGTCGATACTTCTGCTGGGGTTTTTATCATAAAGGATATTACGTTCCTTGTTCAAGGTCACATTTTCTGGGTTACATGAGAAAATCAATGAAGCAGCAACACGAGTTTATTTCCTCCCTCGTTCTAAAATAAAGTCTGCTTTTCACATCTTTCTCTCGGTTAAATTGAAAACAATCTCAGGAATTGTTCTTCTGAACGTATTTTCAATACTTTCGTTAGTTATCAATCTTGACATTGCGATTTGAAATTCGCATCACAAAAAATGACAATCTTATTTAATGTGGTTTAAGTTTTTTATTACATATTTTAACATTTCTCAAAGCAATGACATTTTAGGATGTTCTTTTACTAAAAAGTACCATGGTAAATAAATCCAGTGGTTTTCTGGACATGTACGTTTGTAGTATCATCATAGTTTTTATGGTAGCTGAATATGGCTATTAGATGCCATCACTATACAATATTTATTTGAAGCAAGTATATGTAAATGAAATGTGTATTTCCTTTATTGCTTGGCCTTCTGAATAAGTGTCCGGCTTTTCTCAGTAAGTTTGTTTTTTTAGCACTGGCAGGAAGTTTGGTTTGAAGTGATGCTCTTCTTTTAAACTTCCTCTGAATGAAGGAAGTATGGGACAAATATAGAGATCAAACAGTTTTATTATTAGTAATAATGACCGTCACTAGTGTTAAGTTCGCAAACATAGTCTGGTAGGAGGTTAGCAAGTCAGAAGTAGCAGGTTAAAGAGTTTATTGGTAATTAAATAAACTTGTTGTTTAAACATGGTCAAAACGTATGCATTAGTTATTATTTTATAGCTTTGGAGACATAATAGAGGTCTCATGTTTGCATGTAACTATCAACTTTGTCTTACTGTAGATGTTACTGAAATTTCTTGGGAGAAATAAAAATGAGACGAGTTATTTAAGAGTAGGAGTACAGAGTAATGTGGATATGTAGTGTAGCTCTGAATATTTAGTTTTGGAAGAAGAGAAATGTTTGAGATCGTGGTGAGATCTCTGACTTATGGTTGCAGACGGTGTACGAACTCAGGTATTTGCTCAAAAGTGCAGATACCCTAATAAAATATTACTTTGTTTCACTTTTTGAGTTAACCCTTAAATGCAGGAATGTCTCGCCAATCATTATTACACATTCGGGTCTTTAGCGACCCGGATCTATATCTAACACGGATGGATCCCTAACTGTCTCAATAATATGAAACTCTCCTGATATTAGAGTAACAATAACAGAAGAATAAAATAAAGAAAAAAAAAAACCTTTTGGAGGTTGGAAGGGTTCAGTTTGAGCAGATGTTTTATACCATCATCACTGTCCTCATCAGAGCTCATTTCCCAGTACATTCAGCATCTGGCTCATATTCATGATCATATACATATTCTTCAAATATTCAAATATACATCTTCAAAATCAATATTTTGATCGCTGACAGCTTCTTCACCAGATCCACCATCAAGTGACAGTGACAATGATACAAATAAATAGAGACAATGATAAAAAAGACCTGAGGTATCCGTTTAGGGGTCAAAGTACAAAACTACTAGATTTTTTATGTAAAAACTTGTTTTTTATATTCATGCACATTCATGCATTTCATGCAATTGACTTGAACAGCTCGCAAATAACTGATATTCATGAGCTAGATATGATTTTCATTAACAGTGATCAATACTAAAATTCGACATTAGTAACTTACTTTTCACATTTTATGATTGTAACAGAGCTATTCTAACTCTTTGGTTTTGATCATAATTCCCAAGTTCTTATATGGCAGTTTAAATGTACCATTAAAAATAATTTCACACCAGCCTTTAGTGATTTTAGTAATTTTGCTAGGAATTTCCCAAGAGCATGTTGTGATTATCTAATGTGAAATTGAGTTTTGCACTCTGGGGGTAACCACAATTTTTCATCCCTTGACGCGACTTTAAAGTTTAAAAAGCTTATACTTTTTTTTTGTTATATTTTGCATTTAAATGAGCAGTAGCCCTTTTCAGTGTTTTCTTAACCTAATCTAATATGTAATATATCTATATCTAATATCCTGCTGTCCTTCTGGTCTCCTTGGATCACAAGACTCCAGAGCTGACGTGCTTTACTTTCATCACATGATGTTGGACTCAAAGACTGAAGGTTTCTGTTTAGCCTCAGTCCATGTGGGTTGCCATGGCGATGCGCGTGGGGGCTCAAGCGCTTCCTCGTAACAACCATTATATGATTTATCCGCCCACAGCCTCGAACCGTTCCATGCACAACGTCAAGATACATCATCTCTTAGAGATGCAAACACCTTTGTTTTTCAATTCTCCACATATAGACAGTTCAGAAAACAGCTCTATTAAGCTCTTTCCTCATACCATCACAAATAACGTATAATACACCACATTCAAGTGTAGCTTAGAACATTTGCATTATTTTTACACCGCAAAAAAACACATTTGTCTTGTGTTCTAGTACAAATGTTTAACGCCTATTTATTTGGAAAAGACATTTAATTCAAGATATATATTTTTTCTGATGATCTTTTACTGGAAAGCAAGACTAAAATACCGATTAAGAAAGTCCACTTTTTCTTGCACTGCAGCAGCATCACTAATAACAGGCTTTTGTACTTCCTGTTTGATTTGACCATCTGGCCCATGTTTGCTTGCCTCTGTCCGGCAGTCTCTCGTCTTGCTGGCCTGTGTGTCTGCGCTGGGTCTGGGCTTGAGTCTGCTGGTTCTGTCTGCGTATCTGACCTGCCTGTGCTGCTGTCGAAGGGAAGAGGATGAGGAAGTCAAAAGGCCTGACACCTGCTGTGTCACATGGGCTGCTGTTATCACCGGTCTGGTCATATGGTAAGAGAATTCACTTTGTTTTGCACCCGTCAGGAGCATGTGTATTTCTGAATTCATCGTCATTTTATACATCAACACTTAAGAGTCGATGACGTAGCTATTTTATTTTATTTTATAATTATTTTTTATTTTTTTCTGTCTATGGACATTAACGCTTCCTTTTACAGTACAGTACTTACGTGTACTTACCTATAAAGTACTGGCTAATATAAGGTAAGTAAATGGGTTAGGGGTAGGTTCAGGGTTAGTACCTAGTTATTACCCAATAATTGTAATTACTATAATAAGTACATAGTATGTACATGGGTAACAGGACTGTAAAAGGAAGCGTTACCGACATTATTTTAAAAATATTTTTGACAAAAAAAATGTTGGGGTCATTAAGATTTTTTTTAAAAAGACATTAATGCTTATGTTCAGCAAGGATGCATTAAATTGATTAAAAGTGACAGTAAAGACGTTTTTAACGTTACAAAATATTTATATTTCAAATAAATGCTGCTCTTGGAACTTTATTTATCTAATAGTCCTAAAAAAATTACTAGAGTAATGGCTGCTGAAAATTCAGCTGTACCATCATGGGAATTCCTTTTTTGATAAATACTCTATAAAAATACACGATAATATACAGGTTTTTTTTTTTCTTTTTCTTTTTTTTACAATTTATTTTATTATGAATTTAATTTAATAAGTAATTATTAGAAAACAGACATTCTTTTATAATTGTATTTTTTTTCTTGTTATATTGTTTACAATGAATGGGTTGAGGAGTACTAAGAATGTTAATGTGTAACTTTAAAACAATGAATGAGGGGGAGGTTTGTGAATGACGTCCCAGGCCGATTAAGACCCGAGGTATGCGTTTAAGGTTTAACCTGTGGCATTTCATTGAGGACATCAGCAGTATTTTACTATGGATTATGATGCATTTGGATTGGATTTGTTATGCGACAGGTTCATGGCTGAGATGTTAGCTGTGGAAGAGATATTTTTAGTATTTAAGCTTGTGTGCTGTGACCTCGCAGTGTTCCTCGTTCTCCCAAACGAGAGCAAATCAGAGCATGAACCACTGCATTCATCTCCGAATGGTAGGAATTAAGATGGAAACTCAATTCTAATTTTGTGCGAATTAATCCTCCTTCACCTCTGCTCTCTTTGAGCCGAACACACGTGTCACATGATTCATGATGTCCTGTGCTTGTCATTAGAATGAACATGCGTGAAAACACGTCAAGATTTCGTATGCACAAAGACTGTTAGAGATCACGTTAACAGTGAGATATGGAACAGTTTCAAGATCCAGAAAGTGAGATTCGTATATGTGCATGGATGATATCCTAAAGCTTAGTTCCTACCCTCAAGAGAACCTATAAATCAATCTTCCCAGAGGCTCAAACCTCTAGAGCATTGGAGAGTTAACACACTGCTAACACTGTTTGCGTTCACATTATGCCAATAAAAGAGAACAAATGCTTTTGCTTAAGTGCTGAATTGAATTGGCAGAGTGTTCATCTTAAACTTGTGACAGTCATGAAAGTTTGGGTCTTGATTGAGTTAACATTCCAGATCTAGACACAGGGCCAATGTCATGTTAAGTGCTGCTGCGTGATCTGCTTAACATAAAGTCTGACTTAAAGGGTTAAGCCTGGTTCACACGGCAGGATAATTAGGCCGATTTTAGCCCCGATTCACCCCTTCCGACAATCTCAAGGATGCTCCGATTATCGTAAAATAATCTGATCAGATATTCCTGTCGTGTGTGGTGTGTTAAGACTGCTCTCGTCTGCTCGGAAGGACGTCGGGACCGCTCCGATCTCAAATCGGGGATATCCAACATGTTGGATTTTTTTGGCCCGATTTCTCCTCGTGTGTGGTCTCCCCAGATGCCAGCAAGGTTTTCCAGCCCAAAACCTCGTCAAAAACCGCGAGAATGCACAAAAAAACGCCCATTGTTTTTGGGCTTGTTTTCTCGTTTAAACACATTGAAATCATGAACAAGCTTTAAAATTACCTATTGGTCCGTGTACTTTTGCGTCCATTCGTTTTTCCTTTTTTAACCCGTAATTGAAAAATGAACGGTTGTTATATTTCTAAAACGTAAAGTTGAACACCAAAATTTTAATTTGAAATGCATAGGCTATACTCCAAATGCTGCGCAAAATAATAAATATTGACGTATTTTCAGATTTTTGTTTATGACTTTTTGTCCCTAAATTAAACATTTAAAATATTCACAAATTAATATGGAAAAAATTTAGATTTTACTGGTTTTCTAAGGCCAAACGCGGAAATTATATTTTTCCCGCAGTGGTGAAGACCCGTGTCTCTGGAACCATACGAGAGCTGATTTAGGCTATAGATGATTTATAGGCTAATAATAATAAATGTGTCTGAAAAAGTAACGAGGCATTTTAATTGTTTATTAATAAACTAGCCTAGTATTTTTTAAATCGGCTGGAAATATCTCCATCTCCGCTGTAAAGCGGATGCGCCTTTAGATGAGAAATTCATATGGATTACATAATCAGACTGCATTTGCTTTCGATTCGAATTTATTCGTTTAAAAATTGACATTTCAAGCTTTAGCCTACATATAAAGGTAGGCTATGTTTTGTTTCAGTTCATTTTTGAGACGCAATCCAGTTACGGAGACCACGAAAGCGCGCCTGATTGTTTTCTTTTATTTTACAAAAGCATAACGTTTTCTTGTTATTGTGAGTTTACACAAATAAAAGTAGTTGCGACTGATGTATTTTTATTTTCTGTATGACCAGAAATGATAGAGTATTTTAAGTTGTTGCCACTGTTGATAGAAAAACGCAAGTGTTCGCGCCCGCGCGCCTCTGGTCATGCAGAGCGCGCTCCACACTCGCACAAACCCTGGATATGCGTCATTTGTAATAATCTTAGCCCTGTATTATTATTGTCTAACCAGTATTATGACTGACGAATTGCTTTGTTCCTTTTTTGGATTAAAGCGTCTTCTAGCCAAAATGTAGGCTAATAATAATTACAATTATTATTTGCATTTATAACTATACATGAGTTCACTTAAGACAGTAATGTTTATCAAAAAATAATTTATTAATGTTTTATTTTTATATAACTTAACGTTTTACAGTTTTTTAAATGTTTTTGTTTTAGGCTACCCTATATTAATTTTTTATATGTGAAGTATTTTATTGCTTATATTATACTGAGCTTTTTCCTCCCAAAAAATTGACTTTAAAAATACAAGTAGGCTAAATGTCGTTTTTTAGAAAATTCAAGAAATTATCCATTTTGAAAAATAAAGTTTAAACACAATGGTATCCCGTGCATCCAGCACTTTTCTTTTGATAACGTTTTTTTTTCGGTTAAAAACAAACTACAAACTACTCAACATCCTCTTCGTCCGCCATGATTGTTTAGGCTACTCTGAAGTCACGTTTGATTTTGAGGGATTTTGCGAGATTTTCCGTCTGACCTGGAAATGCTTGGGAGTCAAATCGGTTCGTGTGTGATGTGTTGATTTTGCCGTGTGGCTGCGCACCACACACTGTACGACCAAAACTGTTAGACCCGTGATTTTTTATCGCTGTGTGTGGGGTCTCTCAGGTTTGTAAAATCGGCCGACAATTTTAAAATCGTCCCGTGTGAACCAGCCTTTAGTTCACCCAAAAATGAAAATTATGTCATTAATGACTCACCCTCATGTCGTTCCAAGCCCGTAAGACCTCCGTTCATCTTCGGAACAGTTTAAGATATTTTAGATTTAGTCCGAGAGCTTTTTGTCCCGATATACTGTCCTTGTCCAGAAAGGAAATAAAGACATCATCAAAGTAGTCCATGTGACATCAGTGGGTTAGTTAGAATGTTTTGAAGCATCGAAAATACATTTTGGTCCAAAAATAACAAAAACTACGACTTTATTCAGCATTGTATTGTCTTCCGGTTCTGTTGTCGAGCCGCGTTCAGTGACGCTGCTGACGTAAGACGCTGCTGACGTGTATCTGGTGCGCCCGAGCTTCGTTTACAGTCTGAGGGAGACCCACGCTGTAAACAAAACAATCTTCGCAAACATGTCTAAGGATTTCCACACAGAGGAAGACTTGCATTTTTTTTGCCCAGCCATATTTATTTGAACCCGAATACACGGACACACCAGATACACGTCAGGAGCGTCACTGAACGCTGATTGACAACAGAACCGGAAGAGAATACAATGCTGAATAAAGTCGTAGTTTTTGTTATTTTTGGACCAAAATGTATTTTCGATGCTTCAAAACATTCTAACTAACCCACTGATGTCACATGGACTACTTTGATGATGTCTCTATTTCTTTTCTGGACAAGGACAGTATACCGTACATACATTTTCAATGGAGGGACAGAAAGCTCTCGGACTAAATCTAAAATATCTTAAACTGTGTTCCGAAGATGAACGGAGGTCTTACGGGCTTGGGACGACATGAGGGTGAGTCATTAATGACATAATTTTCATTTTTGGGTGAACTAACCCTTTAACCTTTTACTATTGTGAATAACCTGAATTTGTGTTTGTTCTTCTGACCAAACTTCTTGTATATGGCTTCAGAAGCTGAATTTCATTTTCGGGTGAGATATTCCTTGATGGAGTGAGATGTCCATTGCCTGTTTTGGACACATACATTACATTTCTAAATGTATGTGGTGGGTGCGACGCTGCGTGAAGGTGCATGTGCGCTGTAATGGGGATGTACTGCAGCAGAACACGTTCTTAAGCTAAGACACTGTTATACTAAGACCTTAACTCAATAATGTGGCTGTTTATCTCATTTATGTTGTTGTCGGGTGGCCCGTGGTCGTCCTTATTGGATTATCCCATCAGCTCTAAGGCGCTTTTTAATTCCATTATATTACCATTTTTAAACAAAACAGGGATAGTTTTTATTTTCAGTGGTTCCGTTCCTTCTAAAACACTTGGATGTAGGTAAATACCATTGTCATGTACTGTATATCAGAAGCCAGTTCTCTCTTTT